GCGGCAACAACAACTACGACAACGACACCCAAGAATCGCTCAACTGTGGCCAAAAAGTTCGTTGTTCATTTGTGCGCTGCTTTGGCTTCATCTACTTCTACAGCGACTATTGCTACTTCGGCTGCTGCTTCTTCTTCTTCTTCTTCTTCAGCTAGTACTTCTGCTTCTTGTGCTGTTTCACATTCACAATTTAATTCAATTCAATTTGGCCACAAAAATAATTACGACCTGTCCAGGCCGACGCGCAGCGTGTGAGCCAAAGCGATGCGGCTAACTGCTTCAGCAGCGCCATCCAACGGCGTTGACATGTACTACATGTACCCACCTTCGAGTAAGTGTGTGTGCGTGTGTGTGTGTCACTGTGCTGTTGTAGGCGCTCTTATTGAAAACAAATCACAGGCAACAAAAGCCGTTAACAATCGACTGATGGCAGACGAAAGAAGGGCATTTATCAAAAGGTCATCAAAATCCAATCGACAGCAACAACAACGACAACAACTATTATATGGGAGGAGGAATGGATCGTGCAACATGATGCATGACAGATCATGGATCAGCATGGCAATCCGTCAGTTGGCTCTGTCGAATCTTGTCAAATGCACGACATAAAAATCTTTGTCGAATCGTTAAAAATGCATCATCATCAATTTTTGATGCATATTTAATGTACGACGCTGGCTGGGGCCCAGTTGGTGTTGCCACCAAATGGGGCATGTGGCCGGTGTTGGCGCTCCACATTAACTGCAAAGTGCGACATAAAAATTGATTTAGTCGGCGAGTCGGCAAATGCCAAAGCAAATAGATGTTGCTGATATACTCAATACATATATGTATATATATGTATATGCATGTGTGTGTGTCTGTGTGAGTGAGTGTGAGTGTTGCACATGTATACAATTAAATCATCTGTCGGCCGGCGCATTATGGCTCAATTAGGGGCGTTAAATTACCACACAGGAGATGGGGGTGGAGGTGGAGCAATAGCAGTGGCAGCAGGAGGAAGAGCTAGAGGCTGGAAGGCGGGGGCAGAGGCACAGGCGGCGGCAACATGCAGCTATCAGAGACGCTGAAGAAGCACAGGATATCCTGGACACGGCTTTTGTCGGCACACGCCCAGGCACTGAGGCCGATTAGCGTCCTGGTTAGCCGCAAAGTAAAGAAAAAATTGGAGAGAAGGAAAATGAAACAGCGGCATAAATAGAATCGAAATGGAACAGGTAACGCGCAACGTGCAACAAGTGCGTGCGAAAATTCACATGTCAACATGAAAATGGTTGAGGCAACCGCGACCGCAGATAAGCCAGCGTGTCCGCCCTTCCCGGAAAGGTCCTTGTCGGCTGCCTTTTCGGGCCGCATTTGGTGTTTGAGCAGTTGCAACTTCTTGTTACAAATTTCGAGAGATACTAGCTCGGCAATTGGATGTTGACTATTTACCTGAGCGTTCAGTCAGTGATGGGAGGGGCGGGGTAGTGGTAGGCGGTGGTGTATGGGGTTTGCGCACTCTTGGTATTTCCGGCTCATGCCCAATAAAAGCCAAGTCAGGCTAACTTTCATAAATTAGTCATTGAACTCAGCCAGCCAGCCAGCCAGTCAGCCGGCTGGTGAAATAGCAACAATAAACTAAATGCGAGCAACACTATAAACAACAACAACAACAGCAGCAACAACAAGCAGACATAACTAATTTTTTTGTTATAGTGTGAACCTCACACTAAAGCTTAAAACAATATACGCACAGGGCACTGAGAGATCTACATAATCATAATGGTCTCGAATTTACGCTTTAATAACTTTTTGGCTATGCGCTACACGCTTTTGTTCCGGGCATATTGCAGTGGATAAGCCGGAGGGGCGTTTTGGTGAAAATTTTCCAAGTATTATGTAAATTATTTAAAAACTAATCAAATATATTTCCGAGAAATTGTACAAAACATAATTTAATCGAAAAAGTATTTTTTCTAAAATTATTAAAATTTTTACTGAATTATTGATCATTTATTTTAAAATATAAATAATAAAGTAAATTAATAAATAATATTAAAAATAAAAATATATTAAAAAATAAAAAATAAAATAAAAATAAAATCGTATTCAAAGTATTTAATTAGATTGTCTTAAATTTAAATAAAAAATAAAAAATATTAAGAAAATATAAAAAAGATTAAATGCTATACTATTGATTAAAAAAGTATAATTAAGTTAATAAAATTTGTTATTTATTGTAAAATAGTATTATTCAATTTTTTTTATATTGTATACATATATTACAATAATAATAATAATAATAATAATAATAATGGCATTAAAATTTATCTTAAGACAAATAAATATTATGTATAGTTAACAATTTTCAAATTATTAATGTTATATACTACATAAAAAATTTGAAAATTGTTAACTATACATAGTACGTATTTATCTAAAATTAATTTTTAATGCCATTACTTTTAAGCAAATATGTGCTGAGATTAAATACATATAATAACTAAAGCTTATTACAAATAAATATATCTAACTAAAATAATATTTCTTTTTATTGCATTTATCTAACCATCTAAGCGGCTTTTATTTCCAAATCATGTCTGCTGATGTACAAAAAAGGTTTAATTTATGCAAAAAATGAAAAAAGAGAATAGTAATAATCAAAAACTGAAAACAAAAAATAAAAAATAAAACGTATAAAAAACCTAATATGAATAAGCAACTTGGCATTATAAATGCTTCAAAAGAAATTTGGGTTATGGGCTGCGGGTGGAAACGCGGCCCGGCCAAGAGCCATTTCCCCATGTGTTTCCCATGAACCACGCTAATTAGCCAAATACAAAAACCCACCGAAAAAAAACCAGCTAAAATAACTCGCGTACACCTAAATCTAACAATGAGCATAACATTTCAAATTTCAAATTCCAAATTTTTATGTTTATTTACCAACGTTCATATATACATATATATAGATATAAATGTATATATAGATATAGAGATATGTATATGAATTTTTGTTAATTTAAATTAGGCGCATTCGTCCAGAAAACGAAATTCCAAAATGGCGTACAGTCTGAAGCAGGTGGAATGCGGCATTCGAGGCAAGTCTACATAGATAAGACCCAAAAACCCAAGACTCGTGCGCACTTAATGCGTGCCCGGGACGCACTATTTAGTGAGGAGCCAAAGGTGTGGGGGGCGGGTGTGGTTAGCAGAGCCCTACGCGCTTCGCTGACTGACTGACTGACTGGCTGACTGGCTGAGTCAGCTTATCCAACTTCGAGGCAACTGTACGACGACTTCGTTTGGCATATTTAAATTTTAAGCCAAACTCAGTTCCAGCCCAAGTAAAACCAAACCGAACCGAACCGAACCAAACCGAACTGAGCTGTGCTGTGCTATGCTGTGCTGTGATCCATGACCATGATGCGGTGCCAAGGCGCTGCTCGTGCTGTTGCGGCGTTTGTAGTGGCTGGCGCCATTTTTGATAGTCGCGTTTATGATTTGCCAAAATAACAAAAACTTTCTAAAGCTGCGCCGCAGCTGAAAGCCAAAAGCCAAAGATCGAGTTCAAACGCTGCGAAATTCGCCAAGTCATTTGCATGCGCAGGCGCTGCCAGATCACAAATATGAAAGAGCAAAACCATGTGGCAACTACGTATGAGTATCGAAGACCTACAAAACTTTCCAAATTTGCTGAGGACACAAGAGAAATGGAAAAAAAACGAAGCATATCAGCTTTCAAAGAATGGAGCAACTTTTTGAGGGATTCTTACCTCAGAGTAGTAGCTGCTGAAAGCTCTGCTCAAAGACCAAGTTTAATTTTCTGTAGCTTCAAGATTTTTCTTTTATTCATTTCGAATTAGTTTCGTTATCATCTGACACTTGACAACTGACTTGCTGAGTGCTGCAGTTGGGGCGCGCAGATTTCATTTGTCTAAAAATACGTAGATGATCGCATATAAATTATAATTGAAAATATCCATATATGTGTCTACTTGTGCATGCAATCTCTGCGACAACAACAACAACGACGACAACTGATAAATAAAAATCTGCTAGTGCTGCTGTTGTCATCAGCCCCCGGTCAGCTATACGGAGAGTGAATGCTGCCCTGGTCTCTGTCGCCCCGTAACTCTTCGTCTCGCTATCCACTGTCTTGGGCTGGATCTGTGGCTGGCTGGCTGGCGCACTGCTGATGACTTGATTTGAAACTTGAAATGATATTTTAAGAAACTAATGCAGCCATAGCTCGACGACACAGCGCTGCACATTGCTCCCTGCTCCCTGCCCCTGCGGCGTGCGGCAGCTCCTTCAGATCGTGCTGCCGCCTCGTAGGCATGTTAAATGTCATTTAATAGTTGACAGTTGCACTTGCTGCTTGTTGTTGTTGTTGTTGTTGTTGTTGTGATTATTGCAGTTCATTTTTTGTGTGCTGTTCCTCTTTCCTTAGTTTTTTTTTCTCTTTTTGTCGTATATCTAGAAAAATTTATGTGTAGGTGGTTTTAAATTTATGTCGTCGTTGTCGCCGACACCGAAACAACTCGCGAAAAATTCTTTAGAATCTGTTTCGTTTTTCTTCAATAAAACTACATTTTATAGTTTACACAAATAAAAGAACAGAAAAAAAAGCGAAATTGTATATACGAAGCTCTCTCATGATAATCATGCTGATGATGATTAGCTTAAGCCTTGGTGCTGATCACATGACTTATTGATGACATCCTGTCCAACTTTGCGCTGTATTCGATAAGGCTGAAAAGATGATACGAAAATGCCCCAAAAGCTCAAACAGCAAATGCATATCGCATATGCAAACAGCAAATGCATAAACCGAATCAATGAACTTCTACAAGTGAAACCACTTCAATTAATGCCAGCTGTGTGAATATCTATTTATTTGTATACTTGTTGTTCATGAAGTAAAGTGTGAGGAAAAAAAAAACGAAATAAAATCAGGAAGTAGGCCTGGAATTGATTGTTGACTTGAATTTATCTCGAGACGTTGCCTAAAGAAATTGATACGGATGCCACCGCTATCGTCAGTGCTTTTGTTGTTTGGAACTGTCGACTAAGTATCGCCATTGGCCTTGGACTTGCCGTTGAGAATTTCTTGCTTCAGCTCTAGATAGCTCTCCAGTACGACATCGTTTTTGCGCTTCTCGGTTTTTAGCTCCCAGGCGAGACGCACTAGCTCGTTGGCCAGCTGCTCGGGGTCGTTGGTCAGTTGGAGCACCTCCTCGGTGCTGGAGCAGTTGCGAAGCGATTGACGCATGTTGTTGGCTGGTATGGGCTGCTTGAATGGCAGCTTCATCTCCTGGGCATAGTTGGATGGCTTGATGATCAGCTGTTTGAGCATCTGGGCGTATTCCTGATGCCGTAGTTTGCGCTGATCCAGCTCATTGATCCGGGAGCGCACATTCTCCAGCTCGACCATGCGCTGCACTGGCTCCGGTGACTCCAGCTTGGTGTCGCTATGCACGGCTTGGGCGAGCTGAGCGGCCGCCGAGATCTTTGTGGGTCTCTCTCCTTCGTCATCTTCGTTTTTCTTCTGATCATGGTACTTGCGTTTGGGGAAGCGCTTGGACACTATATAGGCGCTGCGCAATGACTGCATCCAGGGTTGAGAAAACTTAGATAGCGTAAACATCGTGAAACACTAAATGGAAAATTTTGCACTTGCTCTCAAAAAATTCAGACTATAAAAAAATTACGTAAAATTTCGAGAAAACAAAAATAAAACACAAACACGAAAAAAAAAAAAAATCTAAAAGATTTCTTGAAAAATTATGAAATGCTTATTACCCAAATGTAGGAACGAAACTGAATGTATTCCCAGTCTGGGCTCGAAGCTAGGCGTTTCAATTTCCATGGCCTACTTAGGGAAAAAAAAATTAAAAGTCTACTAGATTGAATAGAAAAAAACAGAGCGGAAAAAATGTTTGTGACTAAGTGTTGATGTGTATTGATGAACTGCTTGATTGAGTGATTGACAGTTTTCAATCATATATACTCAAATATGTAAGTGCTTGATTGACATGATACGATATGTATTAATTAAAGCATATCAGCTATATTTCTCTATCGAAATCGTATATAAACTGATTGACTGACGGACAGTCATCAATCATGGCAACAATATTGTATTTTTATTGACTGATGATTAGCTAACTGATTGATTGATTGATAGCTATTCATAGTCCCTGACCATTCGATAAAAATTTTGCATATTATCGACAGCAACTAAAACCAAATTAGGAAACCCAAATGAATTTTTTCTTTTCTCAAGGCTTAGCCTCGTTTTCTATATAATTAATTTACTCTCTCTCTCTCTCTCTCTCTCTCTCTCTCTCTCTTTCTCTGTTTGATCCAATTTAGGAGCATTTACAAAATAGTGTATTATCGATCATTATATAGACTTGCAGCCATATGGGCCAAAGTGCGGAGTTTGTCGTGCCTGTTGGCAACGCACGCCATACGAACATTATTCCATCAGCCCCCCATGCCGCAACGATCCTGCACATTATTCATCATACAGCAACTGGAGAGGGTGTGCTGAGCCATAGGCAGAGGCGGAGGCGGAGGCGGAGGGGAATCGAAGCGAGCTTGAGCCTGAACAACTTCATCAGGCTGCAGCACATTTTCGCTATTTTCACATATTCGATGAAAAATTATTTATACGTCTTTGTTTTATTTCTTTCTTTTTTTTTTTTTTTTGCTTTGCATAAATAGGAATGGGCAGTCCCATTGGCTGGCTGGCTGGTTGGTTGGCTGGCTGGCTGGCTGGCTGGCTGGGCTGCCAATTCGTTTCAACAGGCAAAAGTCGTCGCCGTTGCCTCGTCGTCATTTTGATTGATTTGAATGTTACGTTGAGTGCGCGACGCTGGCAGCGCTGCTCGCAATGTGACTGATGATTGATGGACTTAAGGCCAAGTCACAGTTGCTCCCCTCTCAACCCTCGGCGCCCAGCTAAATGCACCCTGTTCCGGTGGGCAGCCAGCGTGACCCTCGAACTCTCTTTTGCCAAGGTGCCAACACACAAAAAAAAAGAAAGAAAAAAATCGAAATAATCAAAAAAAAAAAAAAAACTGTTATAGAAAATGTTATGCAAGCAGGGCATATAAAAAAAACTTTTCTTATTATTGGGAGCCACTAATTCAACTAAGAGCCTAGCAAGAAAAAACGGAAAAAATGTAATTTCCAGGTCCTGACAGGCATATGTCAAATTTGACAAATATTTAATAAAAAAAAATTAACCTGAAAAAATGTTTGAGGCAAGCCAACGATGTGTCCCAGGGCCAGTGGAAATTAGTATAGATTCAATTCAAAGAGAGGGCAGCTGAGGGTATATCGTATAGTATATCATACGCTTTCTTTAATTGTAAATATGAAACTATTAAATATGAAATCTGAGCAGAGCGGAGGACTCGCAGCCAGCACAGAGCAAACATGAAGGTATTCAGGTAAAGGAAGCCAAGACTTTCGAGCTGTATCGCAGCAATTGAAGACCCCATCAACGCCTATGTGGCGAACGGTATTATGCATCCAGTTGAGTGCAACCTACGCAACACGTAAGTGGCAAGTGAATGTGGCAAGTTTTGTTATACTTTTAGCTGCTCGAGTTGGAACCCTTGCGGCTTTTGACAGCTGAACATCAAGGCAAGCACAGGACGGGCCAAGTTGCAGTCTGAGCTAAAGCCAAAGCCAAAGCCAAAGCTAAAGCCAAAACCCGAGCCGGGCCCACAATCGCTATCCAGCTACCAAGTTGACCCAGTGAACTTTCTCGCGCTCTCGCAGCCGCGGTCAGAGTCGGAGTCGCTGGTTAAGTAAATTTTTATTTTCCAAAAGTATTTTTCCGTGTGTGGGAGCGTAAATCTTGCACTCACACAAATGCCGGATGTGGTTGCGTAGAGACGTGGCTCCCAGCTACCTTAGTCGTAGCCCTCTCCCCACCCCAGGCCGTTCCCTCAGTCGCTCTTCGCGTCGGCTGGGCAAACGCGCAACTTTCTGTTTGCTCAGCAGCGACAGCACTAAAATAATAACAATAATAGTATAAAATACTAAGTAAAAATGCCCACTTCCGAGTGCCCAAGCTGAGGCCTCAGCCCAAAGCCGATCTCGGTATCAACTGCCGTGTATACACTGTAGCACATCATTACTCCATTTCTACCACAATTAAACAAAAAGCGTGAGCTCTGCCCCGATATGATATGGCATACTCATACTAGACATGCCATGGAGTCGATTGTTTTACTGAATGTCTTTTCCATTTCTGATACTCTGCTTGGGCTTTGAAGAGTTCAGTTCTTATATAGAATTTTCTTTATACTGATGGATAGATATACATAGAAGTTGGCTTATTCGGTCCATGTTAGATCGAAAGTTTTATATGAGAGAATCCTGAACTATAATCTACTTTACATTATCTTATGTATATATATTGTATAAATATAAGCTATTCCAAACAATTTAAAATTAGTTATCTGTATAATACTCTGTGTACATATTATAGTAATTATTAAATAAATATTAGAAATATTAAAAGTTCCATGAATTTGTACTCTGTCTAGTTTCCACTAAATTTAATTATAAGATATAATTTACCATGCCTTGTACCTATCCCTTACTTATATTCATATAAGATAATCAACAAACTGCATAACTCTCTTATGTTTTCTATATACACTATATCATATACATTTCGACTATTCTTCATCTTCAAAAGAGCATTTGAAATTCGGTTTCATCTGCTCTCTCTCTCTCTCTCTCTCTCTCAGTTTCCTATTAATTCTTAGAGTCTCTTCCATGTTTTTCAATTTATTTAATGTTATTTATTTATTTGTTTGTTTCTTTGTTAATTTTCATGTATTTAACTACTTTTTCCCCACATTGTTGTTCTTTCTTTTGGGTTTTCCTCTTAGCTTTTGAGTCTGTTTAATGTCAACTTCCGGAGCACAGATCTGTAATCTGTTCAATATATATGAGTATGTGTATCTGTACGGGAGAGGTTAGGAGAGAAGAGAATAATTCAATATGTGTGGCATATAATTACTTTTCACTGGGAACCGACTAAAGTTTTTTTTATACCTTTGTATTGTGCGAGTAATTCGTGGGTCGCTTAACTGACAATTTTTGTTTTTTTTTCCCACTTTTTTGTTTTGTGGGGAAACACTTAAAGAAACGCTGGCACGCAATGCAGCCAACTTCAAGTTGCAGCCTCACACACACACACGCCCCCCGCCTAGTCAGACAGACAAAACAAAAACAAGCAAAATTGGTATATATAAACTTACGTAACCAAAGCATTGACTAGCAGATGACGGCAATGCCAACTCCTTACGGTCTATAAAAGGATTCAATATAGAAATTAATGCAGACCGTTCAGATATGCAAAATAATAAAGGGAAACGAAAGGAAAAACGCCAAATGAATTACGATAAGCTGCAGGCAGCAACAGCCATAAACAACAACAATAATAACAGCAACAACAACAGCAGCCATATCAAAGACGCCAGTCGGCTAGGGCCAAGGGGCAAGCGCCAAAGAAAACCCGCTAAAGGGGGCGAAAAATTGCACCAAAATTAATAAGGAAAAAATGCAAAGACGTGAGACGTCAGAACATCTTAGACAATGCTCGAAGGGAAGGCGATAGCAACAGCAAAATGCACTACATAAAGGAGTATTAGTATTAGTATTAGTATTAGTATTAGTATTAGTATTAGTATTAGTATTA